AAAGCTGGTATAAATTTAATAGCATAATTAAGTAACACAAATTGGTAGCTGTTACACCGAGGCAGAGAAGGGATGACAGAAACCCTTTGAGAGGCACAGGGTAAGCAGATTCTCCCTCTCTGTTACAGCCTCCAGGGCCATTTGCCATCATCTCGTTTTCCGTGCCTGCAGTAAGAGGACACAGTCACTTCAGTACCCTACCACACAGGTCCCAGAAATAGCACATCACAGGTGTCCATCATACTAACTCTGCTGAAGTTCCTGTAAAGATGCTTTCTTAATTGAATGCCTGTAATGCCAGGTGAGTTTTGAAGTCTGCTACTTGTTTTTTACCTCCCATGTGAGTAACTACCAAATCATTTGATAAAAAACTTCGATTCCACCACTGCAACAAAACAGTTTTTAAAGCATCTTGTCTCTTCTGAGACTTAAATTTAAATTTCTGAGACTGCAGCACTAATAGATATCTCAGAAGTCAACATTTAAGACTTAAGTAATATGGGATGGATATGCCTGTCTTATTTCTAAACAAGCATGCCTAGATTAATAATAAACTTTGGCCAGATACATATTTTCATTTGCATGTTTTTCATATAGCATCATCATCATGTGTGTGTGTAGAGTGCTAAAAATGGAATGAAATCTTCCAGCTGAAAACAGTTCCACGTGACAAAACAGAGAGGGATCCTGAAAACTCCTGCTTCATGTCATGTGCGAGTGTGTGTGCCTGTGTCTTTTTTTTTTTACTCTCATCTAATTTCATCTGTGAGAGACTGTCCCTAGAGGACAAGACAAGAGAGAACCAATTATATCCAGCAGTTGGTTTCTCCAAAATGAAGGCATCTGTTCCATGCCAACGACTTCCACACGGAAGAAAAACAGAACTTTGAAGGCATCTGCGTTCATGGTTGACAGTTGCAGATCTTAGGGTCTACTGTAATTGCCCAGCTGCAAACATGATTTGGTTGCTGCTGTTGTCAGCTGATCTCCTTGCACTGAAAAGAAGGGAGCTTAAATAGCAAATAGCTGGATAAAAATCAGATATTCTTCCACAATACTGACACCTTTTCTCTTCTGAAGGAGGTATTTTTCCTGGTACAATGGGTTTGATGGAAGTAAATTGCAAAATGGTTCTTAAAGTAACATTTTAAAAAATATTCTACTTTAAAATGCTATTCTTTAAATAAAGTACCAGTCCAAGCACAATGTGTTCATTATCTGCCAGCATTTCAGGCTGGTATTTTCTAAGAGTGATTCAGAAACCAGTGTGATTCACCGACCACATAATCCTGCAGCCCACCTTATTTAGTCAAGTAGTCTCAGTAATATCAAGAGTACACCTGAGCAGAAGCTCAGTTTTCACCCCAAATGCATATGGCAAATAAATAACTAGTATATTTATTACTTAACTCACATCACTTCCAACATGAGTGAATGATTTACAAAAGACACTTCAAAGAAACATTACTTGTAATTCAAAATCTGGCTTACAGCACTGGGTGCACACTCACATTTGCAGTGAGATACTCAGCAACGCTGTGCACCTTCACTGCTAAAAAAAATCAAGCAAGCTGTTAACAAGAAGCTCATATAAAGTAGCAAGACCCGAACTGATTTTCCAAAGCACAGGACTGAGTGTCATTTAGAGATCATGGCTACTGATGGTGCAGTTGCAACAAAGACAATTACAACTGGCCTAAGCAGAAAATGCACTGACATTCTCCATCCTCGACTCACTCGATAAAAGTGGATCAGTTTCCAGAAATATTTCATGCACCTCTTGAGTTTTTGTAGTTTGCTTACCTAGGACTTTTTATGAATATCTTGAAAGAAGGAAAACAGTGTATGATAGGGAAATAAATTTTTAATAGAATTCTTTGTTATTCTGCTGGATTCCAGCTGCAATCCCAAACATACTCTGCAGCAACAGCATTCTGCCCTCCCAGCCAGGTAGCCACTCAGCTTAAAATGGACAATAAGGATTCCCAGACAGTCTCCCTTGCTTGGCACATACCTCAAATTATTATGAATGCCTGAAGCAGTGAACCTGGGGGGACACAGTAGGCCTGACACTTCCTGACCACTTCTAAATTCCCTCCAGGAAGGACAAGAGTTGGGAGTGATGACAATTAACACAGCCACCTGTTTCCTGTGACCTCCTAAGGGGCAGACATGGCTACTGATGACTTGCTCTGGCAATGTCACTGAGGTCCTGCCCATCCTTCTCTTCCCAGGGAAGCCATGGAATAATAAAAACAATAGTGGCCAATAATAGCTCTGTACGAGACAGTGAAATTTGGGCCTGGACTTAAAAACAAATGAACAGACAAACAACAACAACAAAAAAAAAGAAATTAACATCAGAAGCTCCCCAGCTGAAGAGGTGGGACCAATCAATCCCAGAATGTGGAAGGAAAATTACACATTGATCCCCCCTTCTAAGTACTGTAGCTGGTATTTACTGTAGCTCTGAACTTCTCTGGAAGTCTGGGGCAGGCAGCTGGCTTAAACACAATTTGAAACAAATCTTGGGATACACAAGTTGAGAATCCTGGCCCGATGGACTCAATAAGGATCTGCAAGCATTATTATGGAAGGAATAGGTTTTTTCTCTCCTTTATATGGCAGTCTTGTCAGGTAAGTCAGTGATTTACAATTCAAAAAGAATGCCCTTGCTTTACACTGAGACCTGAGTTAGTCCATTTTATTAGGGAGAGATCTAGATCTAAGTCTGAGAACCAATTTAAAAAAAGTATTGTCAAGATCACAGATGTGAGATGGGAGCACAGAAATCCTGAAGGTCCAGCTCTTCAAACTGGCATTTTAACTAAAGAAACACTGTCTTCAGTGAGAACTAGGTATGGGAGTACCACGTAAGACCTGAGCTCCAGTATTTCATTCAATGTTTACAAGCTCTGCTGATCCACGGAGTTGAGTTGTATTAATTTATCATGGTGCACATGAAATGTGTACAACATTCAGAAACTACCTTGGGCTATTCAGTTCAGTAGGTTGGTTTCCTTTTCCACCTGTAGCATGCTTTAATACAGGTTGCAGCCTGCTTTTCCAGCATTAAGTGGTTTGCCATCAAGCTTTAAAATAATAAATAGTAGAGTCATGAAACAGGTTTTGCTTAATGGTTCCTGGAACTCAGTGACTTCACTCACTAAAACACTTCCTATAACATTACCCTTAAATACTTTTAGCAATGTCACCATTAAAATAAAATAAAAAATCATCCTGGCAGTACCATCCATTGACAGCACACCCATAGGTGTCATTATTCCCACATTTGTTGGCAGCTTTTTCTGGCACCATTATGCTTTAATGGCTCTGGCAACAAACCCCACCTGGATTTCAATGGAAGTGCTCCTTTGGAGCACTCTTCCCAAATATCCTTTGCAGCATTTTGTCTCCTCTGTTGCACCCTAATCATTCCATTTTCTGGCAACAGCCTCACCCTCTCGCTGTCAAAGCCTGAGCTGGTCTTGGGGAGTTCTCTTCCTGAATTTATCTAATGCATGTGTGATTCAATTTTAGGATGCATTTTCCAAGAGGATTTCAGGACAATAGCTCCTCAGGATGGATGTTCACTCACATCCCAGCTTTAAAATTCTTTTTACTACATCCCAGTAGCACAACGTGACCAAACCAATGGGACAGTAAAGCACAGGCACAAAACCCTATAATCTGATGCTTCATCAGAGAGTTTGTTAAACCTTGTAACTCCCAGAAAGCACACACAGCCTTAGTCAACATGCCACACAACCTGTCATGGTAACATTCAGAACTAACATTCTGATACTGCCATTACCGAAGTAAAAGAAGAAAACTAGAAAAGGTATTCCGAAAAATAAGCAATTGTGGGGGAAAAGTGGTGATTTTTGAGGGGCTGAATTGTTGGTCCTTTTTTTTTTTCCACGGTATTAAAATGACACCTGGGCCACAACCAAAAGGGGCACCTGTGGGGTCATCAGAAATCAAAAAATGTAGACAGCAGATCTCCAAATATAAGGCACTACAAAAGAAAAAAGCTGGCAATGCCTACTACTTATGCAACTGCATATTAACATCCAACATGGCAGACACACATAACCCTCCTAGAGCTCCAAAAGTAACTACAGCCTGGTACAATTTGTAATGGTCATAGATGGCCTCAGATGCTTGTCTGAATTCCTGGGCTTTACTCTCTGTAGCAACTTGGGTCTCCATAAATGATACCTATTTTATTACACACCACTGCCTGCCACCATGTGCATATTAATTCCACTCCACTAGGTGGAGTCTTCTGTCTTTCCAGTCTGCAACCTAAATTCCAAAAGAACCTATTATCTATCCTCCATGAACCTTGCACATTTACTTTACTATAAGAGCCAGAGTATACCTGTCTTGATAAACATAAAAATTAATCAAATGCCTTCCAAAATGATTAAAGAAATCATGAGCTATCCCATGAGGATCACAAATCAGCATGTTACAATGTGGGATCAGGCAGGAATATTGTTGCTGTACAGTTCTGTACAACACAACTGTACTTTCACAGATGTTACATTCAAGAAATAATACTGAGTATAAAAACATATCCCTTAAATAAGTCAACACATGCCCAAAAACTACATATAAACAAACCCAAGTTTCAGAACTTCTATTAAATGATGCCCTCCTTTTCCAGGCATCCCAAAATGTGTTACAGAAAAAACGAGAGGGATACACAAGTTGAGAATCCTGGCCCTGGAATCACATTTCCATTCACAACCAGTGGAGTTAAATATGGCAACTATTCAACAGGAACAGCAAAACTGTATGCAGTATTTCTGGCAAAGATTAAGAAAACAGAACACTCCCATTAATGTGTTCAGAACATTTAGATAAGAAAATCTGGACATGCAGCTATAATCTTTCTTTTGGGGCGGGGCTCCACCCCAACCCCTGTGCAAAGCACCAGAAAATCCCACGACCCAAGCAAAAAGCTCCTTGGTTTCAGAACTGTTCAGGTAGGCAGTCTGTGCTGTCACACACCGCGCCAGAGCGTTTGCTCGGCAGGATCTGCGAGCAGGAAGCCCCTCGCAGGCACGGGGCAGGAACGCGAGGCTCCCCACGGCTCTCACATCCCCGGGTCAGCCGAGGTAGGGCCTCCTCAGCGCCCCTCCTGCTGCTGGCAGATATCACCAGCTATTTAAGGCTACAGACATTTTGCCCCAATCGGCCATGTTTTCTGTAATATTTACTTCTCGTACATATGTCTATAACTATGTATACATCCCACAGAAGGTGAGGTTTAACAGGGTTAGCTTTGTTGGGGAAAAGAAGGTTTGGAGGAAAGGAAACAACTTTCATGTTGAGAAGATTTGAATCTAGTGACTGTCACGGGATGTAAACACTCTTCTGGGGAGGGAGGCTTTTTGTTATGTTTCAGGAGAGCACAGAGTTTTGGATAAAATCTGTATAAATAATTATCCCTCTGTCATTCAACATAAATTTATGCACATGTGTGCACGCAGTTATGCTGGGGAATACAAACTATAAAGTAGACATGCCACAGACTTCTAGACAACCTACCACAAGCACGGATCTCACACAGAATCCATTCTATATTTAAATTTCAGTTTATTGAATTTTAATTATTTCTGATCTGTAGATCACTTTGAGGAAAATCCCCCAAGGCCAAAAGTGTACAAATCCAATTGCAAAACCAAACAGAAGCATCAGCAAGGCCTTTTCCCATGCAGATACCCACCAAAAAAATTAGTTCCTGACTAGTAGATTAGATTAGAATTCAACAGCTAAACCCCATTCTAATATTAAAACCAGGTAATTCGCTATGTTGATATAAAGCAATAAAAGCTCTCATTCTATTCTACACGTTTACTCATGTTATGTACACAGGGTTCCATAGATGTAACAGTGAATTATCCCTTCTTCATTTAGATCCTTATTTATAAAATTAACAAACACATATCATTTTCCATTAGGTTATTGTTGGGGGATTTTGTTGGTGTTTTTGTTCTTTTTTAATTAAAAAGCAACAGTGTTATGTTCTCCAGAGATGCTTATGACAGAAAATGTATGCTCTACTAATACTATGCTTTTCAAGTCATAGAACTTACTCGGATTAGCAGCTCCACAACCATGATTATTTTTGTATATATGCATTCAAATAGACTCCATCATTTCATTTACCATGGAAAAACTTACACCAAAATCCCCATTAACTAAAATATCCTTGATGAGCCCAAACTTAAGATTTGCCGGTATATCAGGAATGAAACAAGCCAAAGAATGTTGTGTCATATACTGAACATCCTTTACATTGCTCAAGGTCCTCAGTAGTAAGTAAAGCTGTATTGCTGCAAAGGGGAAACAGCCACATGTCATTTTAAGATACAATCATAGTTTATTAATAAAATTATTTTAAAAGTACGAGTTAAATCCTTTTATCAACATAGTGGCATTCAGTTATCCAGTGTCATTTTTCCAGTTCAAATAGATATGGTCCTAATTGCATAATGCCATTTTATCTGCTGAAGATAAAAGTGCCAATAAACAAAAATGCACATTAGGCAGGAGATTTTTCAGAATAGATTTTTTTTCAAATAACCCACTTGCATTAACAAAAGATTGCAATGGCTTCCAAATTATAGGGTGTTATTTTTAGTGGAAGTAGTTCAATATTCATATTGGAGCAGATGTAGCAGTTTAACAAAACAGCTCTTCAAATCCTGCACAAATTGAAAACAGGAAAACTGATTGCATTTTCTCTTATCACTTTCCTTTTCTGAATTGACACTTTTGGCCTTCTGAAAATTTACACATGGCTTTCATCTCAACAGCACCTGCTGATCAAACAGAAACCTAACATTTTCAGGAAAATGGTATAAAGGACTAGTTTTCTTTTTACCATCTTAAAGGGCATCGGCAGTCCACTTGATGGCAACAATTGCTGAGTAGATGGCACACAAAATACATTTTATATTTTCAGTCCACTTACTTTTAAAAATTAGTTAAATCCTAACAGCTCTTCTGTATTTGCTCTTTGTCTGCTTTAAATTAATTTCAGTCTCTATCTCTGCGTTAGCCTAATGGGTTTCATTCTACAGTCAGCTAGATTTTAAAGATGATGTGAAAGCCTCTGAAATAATAAACACATTGCATGCTCTGCAGACAGGGGTCTTCTTTATAAAGGCATTTATATGCAATCATATAAACTGATATATACAATTATGCATTCATGTGCACATATTGCACAGACATTTCTTTTTATGGTGCTTATAGCAAGGAAAAATGTGTGTGTGTGTATATATATAGATATACATATATGCATGTATGTTTCATTCCGCTATAGTCTCACTGCATTGAATTCTCTGAGCACTGTTGTTTGAACATGTTGAGGGGAGAGAAATTCAAAGGGCATTTATTTATTTCGAAGTTGTTCTTTGTTTCCTTTGCAGTCTTCAGATTGGGAGAAGGTCTAGCAGATGCTCTAGAACTTGAGCATCAAGACTGGGTTGAGATGCTGCCATTGGTGAACATGGCAAGCATGCAAACAGTACAACCAGAAATCCTTGGGCTCCTGCAAAAGTTAAAGGTATCAAGTCATGTATATAAAAAATGACACATAAGTACCTTGTTATCCCATCTGCTTCTGTGCCTGTAAATTCTGAAGCTCAGCAGCAGGTAACAAGGACCATCTTCCTTTGTACATAATTCTAGGTGTAATTAAAGATACTCCTGAAACCTGCTATGTGTCAGCTTCTTAACGGATAGAGCCCTCACCCCCCTGAAGTACTCTGCTGCCATCCATTACAATTCTGCTTCAGTGATAAGGTAACCTGAAGGCAGAGATGACATACAGTAATATATGTGCCACTCCAGACAGTTGGTTCATGAATTTCAGTGTTTCATCATGCTCACTGAGGCAATCGCAAACTTGAAATGTCAATATGTTCAGTCAATGGAAGTAAAATAATGGGGCTCTATTGTCTTACCCTATCGATCTGCTGCTGTCAACAAGAATACATGCCCCCCTGGCTTTAAACAAATTTTAATTAGGCTTTTAGTTACCAGATCATATCTATATATCTATCTGTGCAAACACTTGACAAAGTGAAACGGCAGTATAAATATTTCAAACTTTTAAATATAAAGGTAATTGTTTAATGTTGCTTTAAGATATGACCACTGATAAAGCCGTTCGCTAAAGCAGCGTGCGTGCACGCACTGAGCGTGCAATTCATTTTAATCTGGAAGAGAACTTAAAAAGCACCACCAGAAGTCCATCTGAAACAACAAAAAAGAAAAAGCAAAGAAGCCACTTTTCCTGAAGCCCGGTGTCATCCTCTCTGTGGTGATTCTGGAAGTTAGGAGCCTTCACTGAAACCCCCCAAGGTGTGAGCAGTGGGTGCCCGGGCGTGACAGGCCGGGGCTGTCACATCCTCTCGGCCCCGCTGCCACCCCAGGCCGGGGCTCCTTCACCCCGTCCCGCCAGACACCCAGACACGGCACTCTCTGCTCCTCTGGGCTGTGTTTAAAGTGGTGTCCCTCAGTCACCACCTTCCTTCTGCGGCCACCTCCTCCCTTCCCCGCGGGCAGCCCGGGAGGCGAGCCCCTCTCCGCTCCCCGGGGGCGGGGGTAGGCAGCACAACAAAAGGCAGATCCCGTCTCCCCGCCGGCTAATCTCTGCCCGTAAATCCCCCGCCCGCTCCGGGGGGAGATAATAAGTGGTTATATCTTCACTTCTCCCCGCGCCTATCGACTTGTGCAGCGCCGAGGGAGCCGGAGCGGGCCGGGCCGGGCCGGGCGCTGTGAGGCGGCGAGGGGTGTCCCCCCGCCCGCCTCTCCGCCTCTCCCGCCCGCGGGTGGAGATTTTACCTTCCGGCGGCGGGAGGGACGAGGAGGCGCCGGCGCGGCCCGAGCTTTGTGCGCCTCACGCGCCTCGCGGCTTATCTGCGGCGCAGGGACGGAGCATCGCGGCTCCGCGGCCCCGCCGGCGCGGGGGGGGCGGCACGGCGGCGTGCATCGGGGCGATTACGGTATCAGCGCGGCCCAGATGGCGGCTGGAGGATGTGCAAGGCAGCGGGGCCGGGAGCGGGGCTGGAGCCGGCCCGGGGTCCCCGGGGAGGCCGCGCCCGGCACGAGGAGAGGCGCCACCTCCGCGCCGCCCACCGGGGGAGAAGGCGGCGGTGCCCAGGTCTGCGTGTGCCTGCCCTCTGGCCGGCGTCCGAGCCGGCTCCGGCCCTGGAAGTTGCCCAACACCTCTCCGGGATAAGGACCCTGCCAGGAGTGGCGCAGCGCTGGTTCCCCAAGGCTCCTCTGCCGGAGGTCGCCGCCACCCCCACTAAGGCGATCGTCCCTGTTGAGTGCCTCCAGCCCGGCTCTCCTTTCACAGGCCATACCTACTGCTGCAGCCCGGCTCCCCCCTCACAGACCATACCTACATCCCGCACGGAGCACGGCGGCCGCTGGCCCAGTACAGTCACAGACTGTACCCGCTCCCAGTTTGGCCAAGCTCCTACCTAATCCAGCCTGCTCATTGTCACGGTTGGCATAAGGGCCTGAACACAGCACTGCTGCTACAAAGTGGTGGCATCATTCACCAGAGGATGAGCGATAAAGAGTAGATCCCTATACTTCACAAGTCAGGTTCTGTGAAAACTGAGGGGCTATTTTGCTGGGATCCATCAAAGAGCACAGGGTTAGCACGAGGCATGGAAAGGGCAGCAAAGCAGCCTATCTGCCTACCATAAGCACAGCCAGCCAGCAGAATAGCTATGCCAGCACCAGGCACTCTATGTGCTCGGGTTTTAAAATTTCTAAAATGTTTCTCCCTGGGAATCAACACCTATTTGTTAGGAAACACATCTCCATTGCAGTCGGCCAAGGAGTAACCGCGAAGGAGGGAGGAGGACAATGACAGCACGCTGAAGTGAGACTGGCATTGTTCAGTGCAAAACTCCTTCCAAAATCACTTGTCCAAGATAGCAGTTTATTCCACAAGAAAAGGAATAAAGGGAATTTGACGCATAATACAAAGTGAAAACCAGAACCTAGATGGGGGAAGGGCATGTGTGTGAAAATCATGTCACCGCAATGAATGTCAGATAAAAAAGGGGTCTGTCACAAATCCTCCACTAATCCAATAATGTGAAAACCTCTTGGTATCACTGAGACATAGCACAAGGGTTTTTTTTATTATTTTTCATAAACCACTCTATATGTTTAGCCTTGGAAAGACCTATCACAAAACCAGGACCTTGATTTTTCAGTGAAGGCAAACTGATGTTCACATGTCAAATTTACTATGCATTCCTCAGCCAGTATTTTTACCCTGAAGAAGAGCCACTTCTCCCTCAACTTCCTCCAGTTGTCAGTTGCGTGACAACCATATTTAGAGGTAATCAGACAGGTCATATTACAAAAGTTAGTCAACTTGTTTGAAACCTTAGCTTCTAAACTCAATGGCATGTTCTACGCATTTCTAAAGAAAAGTGACTTATTAATTAATTCAACCTGCAAGGTAATACAGATTTATTTCTGCATATGTTATTTCAAACTATTACACACAAATGAGAGACTGCTCTTTTTTGGTATTTCTGTTACAGAGCTTTTCCTTGAAATACATACATATCATGCTATGATTTAGGAACTAATTTAGGATCTGTCAGATTCTCATCTTGCAGAGCCACCATGTGCATCTTATGTCTATGTTGACCATACTTTTATTGCTCAAATCACAAAATTCTAAAAAAAAAAAAAAAACTAATCCAGGGTTCTTCCTAATGTTAACAGTTTGCTATGAAAACACATTTAAAATAAAACAATGTGCATTAATAAAATAAATACAATCAGAATACAAATGTGTAACAGAAGTGGCGTTCCATAAGCACAGCTGTCTCAAAGTCCAAGCTGCAGGCTAGAAATCTTAATTTCAACTGACTCTCTTGTAATAATGGGTTACCTTCCTCTAAAGCGGAAAGTCCATCTGCCCCAGGCAGATAAGTTTTGAAGCATTAAAATAGATAAAAATCTAACATTTTCTTTCTTGCATTGAATATGTGAATTCTAGTGTGCTATAATGTGAGAATTCCAACATATGACTATTACGGCATAATATCTCATAGCTCAGCTTGTCATTACCTCACTTGTAATTCTTATGTTAATTATGTTCATAATTACTATAAACAGATGTGGTAGAAATTCGTGTGACCTTTTACTTCAGAATGCATTTCTCACTCTTTCCACTTTTTTTTAATAATGTAGGATATACCAGAGGAAACTATTTCTGACACACTCCGCATATATGTGTGTACATATTTAACATGAAACCATTTCTGCCTCATATTTCAGGCAAAGGACCACCTACATGCCAGTACATTGACATGAAAGTGATGATAACTGAAAAGTCTACCCTGAAACATACCCCTAAATAACTGTGCCTACAGTGAACCTTTTTGATTAAGCCCAGCTAGAGACATCACTGAAGCCTAGGACTTAAATGGAGCAGTGCATTTTTATTCAGGACCTTTGTTAATGCAGCAGTATCCTGCTTTACAACTACAAGTACATAACAGCCATACAGCAATTTATTTTACTCACAGACAAACCATCACTGTCTGTACACAAAACACATTTACAATAAAATCACCATGGATTTCATTAAGAGAAAGGCTACTCGAATTTCATTTCTTTGGACCTAATCTATAATTAGTGCGGACAGACAGGTGCAAACCCTTCTCCTCTACAGATGGCTACTGGAAATGGTGCAAAATAGCTCCTTCTGTTTAAACAACACACAGATAACCTGCTCTGCTCTTATCACTTACAATTACCTCCATTATACTGAACTAATGTTTACTTTAATAAAATGTCCACTGTTGTCTAAACGTTATTTGGAAACTTTCATATCAATGGCAGAAAAAAATGAAGATGGAAGTCAATGTCTTGCAGATGAAAATTTGGAGGGGAGGAAATAAAAAAAAGCTTTTAAAGAACAGGATAGAGCAGACTTTGATTTTATGTCTGCTGTTCATTTTTCTTTATCCACAAAACCACACAGTCTGCTACTTCCTGATGTATGTGTGTTCCTCTGCTACCATATATTAAACTAATAAAGTTTATAGTATGAATAGGACAACTGGATTTTAAAAGCAGGTCTTTAAAAAGGAACATCTATGTGGAAAACCAAGACCCATTGCCTTAAAAGTTCAGCTTTTAAACCAACTGTTTGAGATCTCTGATGTGAAATATCATGAAGACAATGTAACCTGGAAGCCAATGTTTTAAAGATTTACATTCTCATTACTTTTACTAAATTCAGTGTCAGTTTCAACTTTTTTAATGTTATAGGTTGTTTTAAAGGCTGTATGAAAAAGAGCAGGCTGCTACTACCTACATGGATCAAGGGTTTTTTATGTATTCAGATTAAAACAATTTCTTTTCACATTTCTTTAGCCAAGCCATGAGAAATGGCCCCTTCAGAACACCAAATTCATGTTTTATTTCAGCTATTAAGTCTTCTTGATCTCTGCATGACAAGTTTCTGCAGAACAAAGAACAAGACCTTCTCCTCCACCCCTCAATCTCAAAAGTCTGAAGCTCCTGCAATAGCAACATACTGATATCCTTATTCAATTAGCTAAAGATTTAACAGTAATGGACTGTGGCAAGTGGATTTGAAAGTTGAAAATGACAATTGCAAGCCCTTTCTCCCATCACCCCCAATGCAAACACTGCAGATGCCTATTTCACCCAAAGCGTCTGGCAGTGAGGAGTTTGCAGTCTGCACAGTACCTCAGTGAGGCGAGCTTCACATTCAACGCCTGTCGTCTGAAGTTCGTTTCAGAGAAGTGAGAAACAGGATTTGACAGGGAAGAATGTCCTGAACTGACTATCCACTGACCAGCACTCCAGGTGGAGCTATTTTTCTCCCCCATTATTTCAAAAACAATACTCCCAGTATAAAACTCCATGTGCGCGCAGGCATACATAGTGTTAAGCGTACACAGATGAGAGATACCGTGTGATGTTTTACTGGTCCATTATTTAGGCACGAAACAAGTTAACTTTAAGGTGGTCAAAAATGGTAGAAGGCAGTGTTTTACTTAAAAAGATTTTGGAAACTATTTAAAAGCTCAAAGCCTTTGAAGAAAAACAACTTGTGCAGCAGTTGCCAGGAAGCAGTGACCTAACACTGCTGTCTGCATTCCATTACAAACAGAATGGTTCTTGTCTCCCTGAAGCATGCTCATGGCTCAAGAACACAGCCGCTCACCCTTCTGCAAGCACAGGACAGAAAGAAGTCCTGCTATCATCTCTTGTACCCCTCGCCTGGCTCCAGCTTCCCAGAGGCACGAACGGATTCAAGAGTCTGTTGGATTTTTGGTGGAGTTTGGTGTTTTCTTGCACTGATACACGATTGAGCTTCTCATGACAGCAAAGGAAAATGACTCAATAATTGAAAATAGTAGCAATTTTACTGAAGGTTCAGGTATGGTGAAACTGACCTTAAGAAAGTTATCAATTATCAAACATAGTTATTGTAAGTTCCTAATTGAAAACCTTTACAGCAAATCTGCAGTGAATCTCACACCTAAACAAAGCCTTTGCCAACTTCATATTTTCACAGACTGTACAGTTATGAATGAGCCATACTCATGTCTTTTCCTATTATCTTCCTATTGAAGGGGAGCCACAGAAACACCTAGTGCTAAAACCAGAATGCATAAACAAGATGGAGTAACTTTTTTACCATTCAGCCGAGCTGAAGGAAATTCCCTGATCATATTGAATTTCCTAAGGAAATCAGCCCAGAATAAACTGAATGAGGTTTTCAGACTTCCCATGGAAAGGTCAAGCATCAGCTTTAACAACCATTAGAAACCAGTTTCAATCCTCTCTGCTATCCAGATTCACTAAGCCGTTAACAGAAAAGCTGAACAGAAAACCTGGACAATAGAATTCAGCTCTAAAAACATCTTTCACATCTTGCCTCAAACTGCAGTTAACAAAGTTGCTTATTTAAACTTTCCATTGCATCTTGTCAGGATGCAGAAACTGAGACGGAAATGTAAGGCTTCAAGGGTGTAGTTAAATAAATTATACTCACCCTTAGCCCTAACATATTGTGTTTACAAATACAATAATTATGTTTCTAGTTACATGTCAATGGAAGATATTTTCTAAGTCCTTCAAAAAGCATGCAAGCATTACTGTAAGTAGGAAATAAGTCAAAACAGATTAGTAGACCAAAAATGGGGAGGGGAAAAAAAAAATCCTGCTTTGGTCAGCAACTCGGACCACCATCAGGGGATAAATCAATTTGCAGCAGCTGTGGACAGCCATTTAAGTCTGGGGCCTGAACAGATTAATTAGGAGAAGCGATGTTAAAAGTTAAAGGGGTCAGCGTTACATTAAGCACAGGAGTACTTGCTGGAGCAAACGCTTGGCTGTACATACCAAGACTCACAAGACATTCTTCTAGTTAGCCAGGGCTACGCCAGTAGCCAAGCGTTTGGCACTTGCTGCTTTTCCAGAGACAGCCGGCAGCTCCTGCAGGCTGATTTTAAGAGGCATGTACCCGTTCTCGCCCAGCCCTTGCCGCGCCGTGCTGTGCCCTCACCGCGCTCAGCATTGCCCGCACAGGCGGGCGCGCAGCCGTGCACAGCGCGCCTTGGGGCCGCACTGGCAAGCGAAGGCAGGCGCTTCCCGCCCGCCTGCGATTGTCAGTGGAAAACTTAGGCAGCTCTTTCGGTCAGGCTTGCTGCCGCGGACTCAGCAGATCGCAGCCCTCTCCCGAGCTGTCTGCGGGGCGGGAGCTGCCGGCTCCCGGGTGTCACGGCCGGGCGGCTGCGAGAGACAGATCCTCTTCGTGCCGTGATTTAGGGCACGGCAGAGGTAGGAGGGGGTGGCGGGCAGAGCCTGCTGTGGATCGGAAGATGGAGGGCTGCTTTCCCAAAGAAACCCGAGCGGCTTCGAGGCATCTGTTCCCCAGAGCGGCGATGCCGGAGAGCCCCCGGCTGCGGTCGGGCAGGGCGGTCCCGCCGCGCCCGGCTCCGGCTGCAACCTGGGGGGCAGGAGGGGGAGGCTGCTTCGACTCCCCATACCCTCACCCTCCCTCCTTTAAACTTATCAGTGAACTGAAGGAAGCAACATTTTAGCCCCTGGTTGGAGCAAGAACGATTTAAGAGCTGGGTCCGATTAGTTACTTTCGGTTTCTCTCTAATATCTAAGGGAGCAGAGTACAAGAACGACAGCTAGTTCGCTATAAATTAACTCTGAAACAGAGTCACGAGTGCTCCTGCTAGGGTGGCAAAATCCTTTCCTGCACTAAGCCAAATTTCTCAACTTTGGCACTAACAAAAGGACTCGAACTCCGCAAAAGTCAAAGGCTTGTCTAAATGGCCGGGAATATGGTTTTCATCTTTCCAATCTCCCTTATCAATGGTCTGTTGCAAATTTATGGAATCGAACCCTTCAGCACAGCCAGAGGAGATGACACAGTTACATTGTATGGCAGTTTTGGAAATGCAATCCCTAACGTTATCCTGTCGTTTTAGGGAACAAGCTATTTGCATGACCGCGGTACAGCTAAAGGAGACGTGCACCGCCTAAAATATTTCTTTCAAAATAGTCCGAAAAGATGTTCTCAGTGCTGCACAAACCTATGATTGCAGTGAAACAACAAGCGAAACAAAACAATCCCTGCAGAAATATTTCAGCTACTCCAACTCACACTGGCCACCACTAGAGCCTGGAGAGAGGGGAGGCAGGAAAGAAAAAGGCAAGTCCTAAATCCAGACAGAAATCTGACGCTTTGTTATAATATATGCCTGGGAGGGTTATTTTCTGCCAAAACTGGGTTATTTGGTTTCCGAGCTTTTGAGCAGTACCCGGGGTGCTAGTTTGTAAGCCGGGGACAGAGCGTGTAAGGCTGCATGCAGCGCTAACCTGGCCCGGGCACAGCAGCAGCCCCGGTCCGCCTGGGTTAGTTACAGCCACGGGAGCCCCTCAGAGCCCGGGGAGCCCTGCGGGAGAGGAGAAAGGGAGAGAAAAGGGGCTCGGGCTCCCCCCGCCCCGGCGCGCCCTGCCCAGCCCTGCCCGCGCCCGTACTCACACTGCAGAGGACCGGAGATGCCCACCATTCGCCACGGGCTGCGAGCTGCAAATAAAAGTTCCCGTCCTGCTCGGGGGAGAGACGGCAGCCCAGGCTGCTGGAGGGGCGAGGGGGTGGGAAAGGGGAGAGCAGCGCCGCGCGGCTTCCCTTCCCAGTCCAGATGATCCACGTCCACAAAAGTCAAAACGAGCTGAGGAGAAACTCCAGCTGCTTGCTCTGCCCCCCCCCACCACCCTCTCTCGCTCTTTTTTTTTTTTTTTTAAAGGAGGATCAGCTCGAGAGAGACTACTGGTTCCACAGGAAAGGACAAGAACCAAAAATAAAGCAAAGTCTCCAAGTCGAGATAGTTAATGCCCAGGTCCTTCTCCTTGCTGCTGCCGCCGCCGCCGCCGCCTCAGACAAACGTGATGTGGAGCGCAGGGAGCGGCCGCTGTCAGTGGCGGGGTCTCTGCCTGTCCCCGAGCAGCCGACGCATAGCTGAGCCTGCGGCGAGCCCGAGCCGAGCCGGGGTGCGGTGCCGCGCGGTGCCGAGCCGAGCCCGCCGCCCGAGGCTGCGCCGCCGCCGCTCCGCTGCGCCCGGCTCCCGCTAGCAGGCAGCGCGCGAGGCAGGCAGCATACTGCCGGCAGCCGGGCCGGCCCCGCTACCCAGGTGCAGGGGGGGAGGGCTTAAAGCAGTGGGAGGTGATAGAGGTAGGAGACATCTGTGTCGTGAAGAGGTTAGTGGGGGTCAAGTATATGTTAACAATAGGCGAGCGTGGTCCCTCTCGGGCAGCCTGCCTACTCTTTCTTTCTTTCGCTCGCTTTTACTGGGTGGACATCTAACTTGCTCCCTAATGATGCCTCCCCGGCTTTAAGAGTCCAGACTGCCCTGCAGTAACCCAAGACAAACACTTTCTCTAGCCATCTGGAGAGCTCCTGGCTGCTCTGCCTGTGTCTCATCACTGTGTGAAGAGACAGCAGTGCTAGAAATCAAGCCACTCTCAGATCTACTCTCTAATCCCCTTCTGTTAGCTGATTTCCAGTCAGACTGTTTGCTTTTGCATTAGATAATAGCCTTAGAGAAAACAATTATCATTTTCTTTTTCCCTTTGTTTTTTCCTCTTTCTAAAGTACAGTATCAAGGAAGGCCTCCCTCTCTTATTTTAAAAGAAATTTATATTCTTTCATGGCTTGAAGAACCCAGATGCAATTTCACACTTTCCTGGAAGGGGATTCTGGATTCTTCTGAAAGCAGCGACACGATCACAACTGCAGTGAAAATTAATTACTATCATCTACAATTAATAGAAGCATGCCACCGTTTGACTTCGTGTTTCGTTACATAATCATTTCGGTAGGCATCCATATATTTTCCGATTCATCAGTTATTCCCTTCTACGTGTTGCAGAGAATATTATTGTCAGTCACGCAATCTACAGCAAACTGGTATCTCTGCTATCATGTTGTCACTATATAAAGAAGGCGTCTCCACAAAAAAAAAAAAAAAAAAAAAAGAAAAAAAAAGAAAAAAACTTACATTTGCTTCAGAGTAAAAAAGTGCATGTTTTTTTTCAGATTACAGATAATGGATTGGAACTGTCAGAAATGCTGGAACATTTAGCTTCATTTTTTCCAATGTCAGATGTTAAGTAAAAGAGTGAGCATGGAATAGAACTTCTAATCAAGCTGCCTTCTTTATTCCTGTACATACACGTACACACACGCACGCACACACACATACACTATAGGCCTGATCTTGCAAATTTACTAATACTTAATTTTAAACACATAAATAGACCTATTGAATGCAAAGTAGCATTCTGTGTGTTTATTATAAAGGCATACACATTTCCAAAAGGAGGGAAGAAGCATTTTTATGTATATTTATCTGCATATTTATAACAGTATTTGCCTCTCTTGCTGGCTTTGAAATTTTGGTTGATTTTGAAAATATGTTTTAAATATATTTTATTATCTGGACAAAGGTACCTTTTCTGCAAACATTTCAAGATATAGAGCTTTAATGAACTGGTCAGTATCTTGTAATACATGGTCAAATTTACATTGGAGTAAATTCAGCTCTACAGATCATAAATCAGGACATGTTTTGGTCTACTGTGATTTCAATTTACAAAGATGGTGATCAGCCACAAGTCTGGCATTGATTTCTAATTTAAAAACTCTCTGTTTTACAGAGGTCTATTTCAAAGCCAAAATTATGGGAGAATCTTTTTTAAAGTATCTTCAGATATTTAAGAATATCTGAAGATACTTTTAAAAATAATTTAAAGATTATTTAAAAATAGTCTAAAGATAGCAAATTTTACAAGCCTCCTTTTGTCTTCAGCAGATTTAGAAACTTCAGTTTGAAAATCTTTGTGGCATGATACTTTCATTCCAATTGTTCTATGTGTAAGGTGAAAAAAAAAGAGGTTTGCCAGCGGTCTCAGATCATGTTTTGATGAAGTGTCACAGACTGAACACTGACTCCTAATTCTCAGTTTACAGCTTTAACAAAAACCCTACAATGCTTCCTCTTTAGTGTGTACATTCACTCCAGAAGATCAATCAACTTTCTAGGCATTACTGTTCAAATTAGTGGATAGGCATCAGCTTAGATTTAGAAACTCTGGAAAATCTAATCTGAACTGTTAGCAATTTAATATCCATGAAGTTTATAGACTTCTTTGGTCTCATTTCCTAATGAGAAAAGTACAGAAATCACCTATTAAACTCCCAGCCCTGGCTCATCTTATATGACATTTCCCACTGTTCCCAGTAAGGACAAAACCTTCTCAGATAATGGAGTGTAGTAGAGAGCATTAAATGCCAACTACTTTGTGGTGACTATTTTTCTTAGACATGCTGGAAGAATTGACATGATTTCTAAATAACAAAAGATTGTAACCATTGAGTCTTATCATTATATTGCAAAGCTGATGATTGAAGCCTGGCTTATTGCAAACTTCTGTTATCCATACCTTTTTCTTTTCTCTATTTATTTCCCAGAGAAAGTAGATGTGGGTTTTGTGTGAAAAAGGAAAAATAAACACGCTCTTTGGAAGATGAATTCTTGTTTCAGGAAGGAAAAAAAAATGCAGCCTCACAGTAGACCTCACAAATACTTGGTAACTTTACACCCTGCAGATTTTTTCTGCAGACTGTAGATGCCATGTCTGATTTGACATATGAAGGATTTACACTGTGTATCACTGTGTGACATTGTGTGAGAGAAAGGCTGGTTAAAGTATAGTTGCACATGGAAGTCAGAAATATCCTGTTAGGCTGTCCAAATCTGACTATATTTTGATTGTACAGAGACGGATCAAATGTTCAGAGCTGAAACATGTCTCAGTCTTTACTGTGAATAATTATACTATGGGCAGTCATCTGCACTGAAATTCTTGGAAGAGAACTTAAATATCAACTCACCTCATTGCTGTTTAAAAATAGAGACAAGTATGTCCCTCTTAATTGTCACTGCCTTGCAGCTCAGAGTGTTACATATTGTCACATGTTCCCATCCAGAGCTCATGCTCCTCGAACACTTTCCCAGTCAAACTGCAGACTTTAGGTCCGTTCTTGTTTTTTCAGGGATGTTTCTCTATACACGTGTCTTCCACTTCCAAAAAGCTTGCTTTTACAATCCATGAAGTGCACAGGGATCTCGCTGTTTGCTTCTGCTGAAGCTGGATTAGGCCTTGGCATCCGGATCAGGGCTGTAGGTAGCTACCACAGCATTCACTGGAGAAGCTCTCATTTGGTGGAGTGACGCAGTAAATATTCATGTAAGACTAAACAGTCAGATAGAATGCTAAGCTGGATCATTGACAGCTTTAACTCACAAACCTTTGCCTTAATCATATCTTTTCAATTTTCCCTCTAATTTGCAAGTATATTTTACATATTCGTGTGGGCTACACTTCATTTTCCCCTCGGTCTGTTTGCACACATTTTGTAGGTTGTGCACTGCAGAGGATTGCAGCGGGATGGAGTCTGCTGCAGGATTACACCAATGTTGCATACACTTTCTTCAGAAAATCATTTTGAGTTTATTTGGGAGTGCAAGCTAAATCCTGCTTTGACCCCTGCAGAGAAAAGCAGCAAAGACATAAAGAAGTGCTGTGTTGCAGAAATGCTGCCCCCTCTCCGGGGCTTGGCAAGGGCTGGGACAGGTGACCCACAAGTTGCTGGGTGCACTTTGCAGCTCCACGTGTGTGGAAAACGCACTCCAGTACTAGCACTTGATAACGTGAGCAGAAAATATGCATTAGCAGGATAGATCCCCACCCTTTAGTATGCAAAGCATGTCCACTAGGTGATGTACATGCTGCAAGAGCTGACATATTACCTGCCTTTCTTTCTGTGCACACTATTGTTTACCCTTTGGTAGCGAGGAAAATGTATTAAGTTCTTTCCAAATTTAAAAAAAAAAAAAAAGACAGGCTATCTGCTTTCAGGAGGTTATAAACTCCATTGATATACATTTTGACATCTTTTCCTTTTCTAATGGGATAAATTTTAGCTCTGCTTCATGTATATTTATTCAGGATATTCCTTAATTAAATTATATGCTAAGGATACTTTTCGCGTTCTTGTTTGCCTTTTGGCATCATCAGGAGTCCTAAAACCGCTTTAATTTTGCAGCATTCTGAAACACTTTGCTGAAGAATATATGCACAGTGACAGAAAAAGGGGAGCTGGGTTATTTTGGAAAGATCACATAAACAAAAATAATATATTGGCAGTCATTTGTGG